GGCCTTCGGAGCCCTCCAGAAGGTATTCACTGACAGATCTCTGTCCCTCTCTAGTAAACGCCACCTGTACATGGCCTGCGTTTCCTCAATATTACTGTATGGCGGAGAGTGTTGGACCCCACTCCAACGGGATATCAGAAGTTTGGATAAATTCCACCATCAATGCATCCGGACTGTCCTCAGCATCACCAAGCCTCGTCAGTGGTCCGAGCGGCTGTCATCCACAGACCTGCGGAACCGTTGGGGAGACCCAGTACTGATGTCTACACGCCTCCGCAATCGGCGTCTGGAATGGACTGGGCACGTTGCGCGTATGGATGAGGATCGCACCCCCCTCCAACTCCTCTTTGGGTGGCTACCTGTGCCTCGGCCGTTTTGTGGTCCCCGGCGACGGTGGAAAGACACGGTGATGACCGACCTCAAGGTTGCACTGCAACAGCCATCTCAGTGGTTCATCCTTGCTCAGGACCGCCAACAGTGGAGGGAAGTACGGGTTGCCCCTCAGTCGAGCTCCACCATGCCCAAGTCTGTGCATTGCGCAGTGTGTGACCGGAACTTCTCACGGGTCTCAGATAGAACGCGGCACAAGTGCACCACTCAGAGACGGCTTCCCATCCAGCTCCAGCGTGGATCAGTGCAATGCCAGAACTGCCAGAGGTGGTTCCGCAGCAAGGGTGGCTACTCTGTTCATCGATGCCAGCCTGTCACAAGTTCTCCTACACCAACAGTCAGTCTGTCTGTGCCACTTTCAGCTTGTTGCCAGCAGCACTGCCCAACATGTCAGCGATGCTTCCGTTCTGCGGCCGGGTTCAAGCGTCACAACTGCAATCGTGGTGCGAGACCATCTGCTGCTGAGAGAGCAGCTTTGCCCCTCAGCTGCCCACGTTGTAAACGCAATTTCCGCCGGCAGCAGGACCTAGCCAGACATTCGCGGTCCTGCTTGTGATCCGTGTCCCGTTTTCTGGTCCCCTTTCCATAGGGGTGACACTTGCCCCTCTGGGCAGTCATGCTGCTAGTAGTAGTAGTAGTGTGTGTGTGTGTGTGTGTGTGTGTGTGTGTGTGTGCCAGCTAGTCCGGTTGGTGGGGACACTTATGCCTGATTGTGTTGGGTCTGTTGCCAACAGGCTTGGCTGCTTGAAGGTGTATTGTTGTATCTGCCACCTTTGTTGGTTTCAGGCAGGGAGTAGTACAATACCAGGGAGTAGTACAATACCGGGAGGTGACACGGCCACACATCCGGGATTACGAGCTTTGCCTCACAAAAAAAATACAAACCGCGCGAAAATTCAAATTTTTGCTCTTTTGACAGCGCTGAGAAACCTTCAAATAGTGACGAGAAGACCAGACGTATCCCTTCGTGACAAGCTGCCACTTGTTCTTTTCAGCTCGAGCCTTTTTTGGGAGCTACTCTGGTACATCGTCCACACTGCTGCCAAGTCTCGACTTCCCAAAATGGATGGAAGTGACGAATATGGAGGACGCTATCCTAGGTAAGTAACGTGATGGAATTTTCTCATCTTGACATGGTGTAACACGAACCTGAATTTCTCATTTGGACCCACTCGGACACCTCACCAAGTTGGGATATTTCGAAAGTATACCTATTTGTCTACCATTCTACTTCATCTCAACGTGTTAGCTTATGTAACTCTTTGTAAAACTCATTCTGAAAATTTTGAAACTTATTAATTTGTATAGACTTGAACATAATGTTCAAGATCACTTGTTTTCAGCACTGAATGAGGCCAGGCCTGCTTGCTTTGTTGCTTTTTTAACCCCCAGAACCCGTGGACAGAAGAGGAAGAGCGACGACTTGGGTGCGGCTGCGAAGTCTGCCTGCCCAACGCCAATTGCTCCTCACCCAAAAAGTAAACAAATTATATAGCAGGAGTGGTTTCAAGTGGTTTCAATGCATTTTGTTTTGGGGATGTTGGTGTGTACTTATGCAGTCCTAGCGTGTTGAGCAATAGCAATCATGAGAAGGGTATAATTCTGCAATACAACATTGTTGATTATAAATATGACACTGAAGCAATACTGAAACTACGTTTTGGGGTTGTATTTGTTTTCATGCGTGTTCTACAGCGCACCCCATTGACGAAGATCATCCTTGTATAGACGATGATAAAATACTCTCATCTGACAAGGTTAGTTGCACAGTTCTACCATATGTGTAAGGTGGACGTCGGATATAACATGGCTTATCTCTTTTTGGTATGCCATCTACTGCACAGAACACGTCATCAGAAGTCACTGCCTGCTGCGAATAACAGCGCATCGTGTATGACAATCTCTTCACCAACAAGTGCTACCCGTAAGTCAGACAGCAGAGTACAGTCATTCAATAATAGCCAAGTAAGCCCATGCTTTATATGCTTATATGACAATAAGCTGATGGAGGAAAAACAGATCCAATTACATAAAAGTACGCCCAAAAAAGCAACGGCCAAACACGCACACACCAGAACAATTTCAATGCTCTTCATGCACACCAACTAGGCTTATAAATCTGCACAGTGTACGTAAATGAAATATCTTATCCGCAGATCGCATCTGACTTGTTTGATAAAACCTGCAGCAAAACAAAAGCACAACACAGACATATCGAT